TAAATATAATTATAAATTTTTATAAAAATTTTTTATTTAACAGATACTGAAAGAAAAGATGAAATAGTTTCTAATTATTCTAATTCATCTGTTATAAAACTTCCTGTCAAGAATGTTCGTAGTGGATTATATGTTTGTATTGTAAAAAATAAACAGTTTAATAATTTCACTGAGAAATTTACAGCAGTATATTTAAAAGGTAAGATATATTATGAACATTTTGCTATTATTAATATTTAAAGAAATAAAATGATTTTCTCTAAATATCTGTAACACTACTATTTTAATTACTTATGAATCACATCTAAATATCTGTAAGCACTTTTTGTTAGTCTAAGATCATACAAGGTGAGTCAGAAAGGTGACTACACATTTCATCTCATGGTGTGTTGATGTTATTTGATTTACTGGAAACAGAATAGTGGCATTTGCAAGCTGTATTGATAGTGATATTGAAATCACATTTTGCCAGTTTCACAGCCTTCTAGTCATTTTTGTAAGCAACTGCCCATGCTGCAACTATAATTTGCTGCTGTATGCTTGGTGTTACCATCTTGGATGCTAACATAGGCACTGTTGACATAATTCTGACATATAACTTCTTGGAAAGATGACTACAAGGCAATTTCTTCAAATGCCACTTATCAGTCCTCATTAAATTACATAGCATTTGGATGCTATACAATGTAAAACTGTTAGTATTCTACCACTACTACAAAAAATACACTTCCATTCTATTATATGTGCAACGTTTACTATTCTCCCTGAAAAACTGCATTTATACATCACTAAATTGGATAATGCATACAACAAAATTGTAGGCATATATGCCAATCACACCATTCACCAATCACATAATTCACCTTCCTACAAAACTCTACTTAGATTTTTGTGTAAATCCTGAAAACTAAAAAAGGGTTTAAAAAATGCTTTAATTAATATGTCTTATTTATAACCCATTTTCAAGCACTTGGTAAGGTCTCAGATTCTTTGCCATTAATTACTTTACCTCTCACGCTCCTTTTGTATGTTCATCTTTTCTGCACTAGAGAAACTGTTATTCAGTGTATGCAAGCTCCAATAAAATAGATTTTTGTTACTATTTTAAGAAATTAGAGTTGTTTTTATTATTTATTACCAAGAAAAATGAAAAATGGAAGTAATTTTTTATTTTATATCTTATCTATTTTAATTTAATATATACTGTCATTCATATTATATGACTCTAAACAAATATCAGCATTTCTAATCATTTGTATTAATTCGAATACCACATTTTACAGCATATAAGACATATTCCCATTTCAACACAGAATATTTGGAAAAAGTACTAGGCCTAGTACCATCCTGTGTCTTTGGCACATGGGCCCAAATTTTTTTTTACTGCATAGTGGTTTTAAAAAAAAATGTAAAATTAGAATGCATGCTTTTACTTACCAGGGAAAAAGAGGATTTAAATAAGTCATGTACTATTAAAATTTACCATTAAAATATTTAACATGAATACATGAAAAAGTTAAGCTGCTGCTGCTTAAGCTATATCAAACAAAATAATGAAAGTAATAATGTGTTTAATTATATAACAACATTTTCTAACATTCTTCAATTTTTCAACATGTTCTAACATTCCCCAAAGCATTTTGCCTTCTGTTTAGACTGGAAATCATTAGAATGATTTGTGTTTTAGTCCAACTTTTAGTATTGCATAACTATAGTCATTTATAACAGAATATTAATAAATATCACACCTTCCTTACATCTTCCTGCAATACTTTATTAGAAACAAATGTTTTAAAAATTGGAACTTTCCAGTTTTGGAATACTCAGTAAACTGTTCAATTTGAAGGTTTAGAACCTGAAGCAGGTATGTTGTGAGAAGCCAAGATTAGAGAGTAAAGCTCTAAACCCTTTCCTGACATCAGTCTGGTGGAGACTGCTCAATTGTCACTGGATGGCTGTAGTTTTGTTTGACAGGAAGATCATCAAGATCTTCCTGTCAAACAAAACTATCAGAGGGCTTTATCTCGAGTTGTGTGGGCCATGGGTAAGTTGATAGGGTGGCCAATTTAACTAACTAATAAATTTAATAAACTAAAAGAAAAGTGTATAATACAAATAACCTGCTACACCACAGTTACATGCAAACATAAGCACATTTAACAATCTGATATCTATTGGATTCAACTTTATGGACTATACTAAATCTAACTTAATATCTAAGTCAACCGAGAGAGAGTTTACATGAATCTACCTTGGTCGAATACCTCTGATGAGCCACTGTCTTCAGGTCTAGTCGATGTGAAGTTGACATTAAGTAAGGAGTCTTCTATGTAGATAAGTCAGCTTGGAAAGTGGCAAATGGGCCTTGGTGGTCTATGGCTGCTGTGAGAATGTTTGCTTGAAGTATGGCAGAACAAGAGCCAAGGGAGCCACCTGCTACTATGATGGTAGTACTATGGTTGCTGTCCATCTTCCTCAAACTATGTCCACTCCAAAATTGGGTGTGTGGCTGTTATATCCCCATCAGGTGTGGGAATTCAGTCTTGTGACCATATGTTGTCTAGTGATGACACTTCAAATGTGTCATCGCTGGACTGGCTAGGATGGTAGGAAGACTTCTCATTTTGTTGTGGAATTGTTTAAGCCATCAATATTCCCATGCATAAACAACTGGATAGTGTTGACGATTTTGAACGCTTGTTGATGGTTTGACTTAATGTTTACTCATTCTTTATTTATCGGACCCATGGGAGACAGAAATACCGTAAATTGGGAAAAACTTTTCTCCCATGTTAGCGTTAATCAAACAAATAACACCGGATCTCACATCATAAACTAGGCCAAAAACATTTATTACTAATAAAGTATTGCTGGAAGATGTAAGGAAAGTGTGATATTTATTAATGTTAGGATAAGTTTCAGCTTTAAACAAAACTTTGCTTATAACAGAATATAACTCCAAAAATAAAATTAGCATTAATGTCTTACTTATAATCTTTTTCTAAAAAACTATTTTAGTTTCTTACCATTCAATTCAGCCTTAAATTTCTTGTTTAATCCAACAATTATACAATTTTTATATATATAACATATAACAACTGTATGATTAAGCACAAAAAAATTTAAAAAACCAGCAGAAAAATGTTAATAATTAAAAAAAAATTTTTTTTAGTTTTTTTTTGTGGTTAATTTACTTATATCCAGTTATTTGTGGTGTTGAAGTGGTTAAAAAATATATATATTTTAACTGAAACAATACAAATATAGTATTTTATATAAGTGTATTTAAAAAGATATAAAATTTTAATATTAATCAATATTTTCTAGCTGAAACTAATATTCCAAAAAAAGATTCAACAGCATCATCATCATCAAACTCTTCTACTATTATTATAATTGTTGTAGTAATCATGTTTATTGCATTTTTTATAATTTGTATCATCTTGCTACTTTGGATGAAGGTATGCATTTTTTTAAATAATTTTAATTAATTATTACAAATTTGTATACAAACATTTCATATTTTATCAAATATAGATCATCTCTGAATCTTAATACTGTACAGTATATCTTAAATTTTTAAAATCAGATAGGGACAAATTTTATTTTTTTATAAAAACATAATATTTAATAAAATAATGCTATTAGCCTGCACAACTGCCTGGTTCTGAAAACGGGATTCTGTGAATCATATTTTCTACTATTAAATGCAACATATCTCTACCGATTTGTGCCACATAAAGTATTATTCAGTCCTTCAAAGTTACAGAAGTCAACATGTTCTTGGTAAACCAAGTTTTTTAGATGATGATATGCTGCATTCTGCATTGGAAAATATGGTTCTTAGAATCCAGTTTTTGGACATGTGCAAGGACAATATGTTGAATTGTATTTATAATTGAGTCAGAATAAAAACTATTGTCAGCTGTTACCTTTTTGTTTTCTTTTACTATGTCTTATATATTCCATGCACAGTGCCATTATTCTGTGAGATCCGAATAGACCCTGGGATTAATTAATAATTTAATTTAAGGTAAAAGTATGAAGAAAAATATTCTTTAATTTTTGGTGTGAAAATATCGTTTTTCTAACGTGGGAAATGGATAAAAAGTCACTTCCTTTAACGGAAGTTGAAACATCCTTCTGTTTTACACTTATCTACCCAAAATCTCAACACTCTGGGAATTGTCGACCCCTTGATAAATCCCCTCTTCCTCTATTCACGTGAGAAAATCCTAAAAGCTAATTGGATGAAAATCAGGAGATATATTCAGAGTTTTGCATGATTCGGGGAGTACGTCAGGAGATCTCATAGAGGAAGGAGGTATCCCATATTTGCTCCTTAAGGCCAACGCCCTTAGTTAGGAGGACGCATGAAGATCTCATAGAAGAGAGACGTATTCCATACTTATACCTAAAGCCAACACCTTAGTCGNAAAAAATGCATTTGTGACAATACCTAAATGAAATTCTTGCGCAAGAAACAAAAATTGTACAATTAACACAAATTGTGTTAATTGTACAATTATTATCATCATCATGTCAGCGAAGCGGCAATAAAATATTTTCTACCATTTTGCACAACATACCTCTGCAAGAGCAGATTTTTGGCCATGACAAACATGAAAACTAAACATCGTCACCGACTTCAACTCGAAGATGACTCAAGACTGAAGCTGACCAAAAAGCAACCGGATTTTACAAAGTTGTGCAAAAGAAAATCGTGCACATTTGTTACATTAAAATTAAATAACCTTATGCTATTTTCATTATTATTAGAATTGTATTTTAAAGGTAATAAATGTAAAAAAAACTTATTCTATTTATCACTTGCTGTCTACCCACAGCTTCGCCCGTATTATATCGAATTTTCTCATGGAAGTAAGATATTTTCTCGCAGTAAAATGTAGCCTATGTCCATCTCCAATATATAAACTATCTCTGTGCTAAATTTTATTAAAACCTGTTCAGCGGTTTAGACGTGAAAAGGTGGCAGACAGACAAATTACCTTCGAATTTATAATATTAGTATGGATTAATATGAATTTCTGCTATAAGGGGTACGCGAGTTTGAGCTCTTTCTTGAAGTGGTATGCAGGAAAAACTAATTGGGAACCACTGAACTAGGCTGACCATTTTTATTTGTGGTGCAATTCAGGACATTGAGCCTGGTAGCAGGGGGGTAATTTTACAAAGAAAATTAAAAAGTTACACTTGAAACAAATACAATAAAAACTTCTTATTTAAAGCATAAATAATTCAAACAAGTGATTAGTTTTAAGTTAAAACTAATTGTAACTTAAAACTTTTAAGAGTAGTTAAGAGTATTTTACAATGGTATGAACCTTTTTAAGAAGTTCATCACAGTTTTCTATTTGTTGCTTGAAGTCTTTGCAAGTGTGAAACCACCGGAAGGGGGGGTAGGTCTCCCGATCCGGCAACAGGTTGTTAAACCCTTTCACTGTCAGGATGGGTGGTTGAAGGGTCCTTTTTCCCGTTGTAACGGGTCGAGTGGCGGAGGGAAGAGCGCATCAGTGAGACGACAGGCGATATACGAGTAAACGAGGAGGCCAGATATAACATAAGGAAAATTAACAATTTATTAAACCAAGTAATACAACGTCTAGTTTGCGTCCCTAAAACGCGGAGAGACCGAGAGAGAGCTTACAATAATTGGTTCCATACCTCTTGATCTGTTATCCACGCT